CACATTTTTTTCTTTTTTTGGTTGGTCACGGGGCTTGAACAGCCTGGGTGCTGTCCCTGCGTTCTTCAGCTCAAGGCTCACGCTCTACCATTGAGCCACAGCCCCACTTCCAGTTTTCTGGTGGTTTATTGGAGATAGTCTCAGTGGGAAGCCTGGTGTCGTGGCTCACACCTGTAATCCTAGCTACTCAGGAAGCTGAGATCTGAGGATCACGGTTCAAAGCCAGCCTGGGCAGGAAAGTCTGTGAGACTCTTATCCCCAATAAACAGCCAGAAAACCAGAAGTGGCGCTGTGGCTCAAGTGGTAGAGCTCTAGCCTTGAGCTGAAAAGCTGAGGGACAGCGCCCAGGCCCAGAGTTCAAGTCCCACAACCGACCAAAAAAAAGGGGAGTTACTGCCTGAGCTGGCTTTGAACTGTGATCCTCAGCTCTCAGCCTCCTGAGTAGCTCGAATTATAGGCATGAGCCACCAGCCCCCAGCTAACAAAATATTTTAAGTAAACAACACTTAATTTTTTTTTAAGAACAAGTAGCTTAAAGAAAGCAAATGGTGTTGTAGAGTTCTAACCAACCATGGGTATCTTCACAACTGGTCATTATTAATGGTATCTTGTTTTCTAGAGCAAAGGCACAACACCTCTTGCTCCACCACCTAAACCTGTTCGGAGAAGATTAAAATCAGAAGATGAATTAAGGCCGGATGTGGATGAGCATACACAAAAGACGGGCGTCTCGCCTGCTGTTCTCGCATCACAGCCTTCTATTCCCAGGTAACGTGATTGAGCCATGCTAATAAGTGAAAAGGTAATTCTCTCCCTTCCATGCTTAGAAATAAGTCAGAAAAGGCTGGGGCTGTAACCCAGTGGTTGACTTCTTGCCAACATGTGCAGACCTTGAGTTTGATCCCCTAGCATCACAAGAAAGAAGCAAAATCAAAAAAGGCAAGGCATGGTGGCACATACCAGTAACCTCAGCTTCTCAGGAGGCGGATTGGGAAGGTGGAGGGTTGGGGCCACCCCTAAGCAAAAAAAAAACTTAGCAAGACCCCATTTGAAACAATAAACTAGGCTTGCTAGCATCTGTCTGCAGCATCAGCTGCCTCACGGGCAAAGGTACGAAGACTGTGCTGAGATGTTCTAAGGCTGGAGACATGGCTCAAGTGGCCACACGCTTGAGGCTCTGAATTCAAATTTTGTGCTGCCAAAATGAGAGAGGGGAAGCAACTTTGGGGGGAAGGTGGTTGTTTTGAAGAAATGAAGATCATGACTTTTGTCTCCTTTATCTCCACAGATCTGTTGGGAAAGATAAAAAAGCTATCCAGGCATCAATTAGACGCAATAAGGAAACCAACACAGTTTTGGCCAGATTGAATAGTGAATTGCAGCAGCAATTAAAGGTAATAGGGTTTCTGAATCTTTTATTTGGGAAGTCTCATGGAGTCAGAGCTCCTCAGATTTTCAGGAAAAGGTGAAAAGTGATCCAACAATTCCTAGGCTTACATTGAAACTTTACTCAAACTGGAGCTAGGCTCTAGTGGCTCACAGCAGTAATCCTAAATACTCAGGAGGCTGAGATCTGAAGATCACAGTTCAAAGCCAGCTTAGGCAGGAAAGTCCATGAGACTCTTCTCTCCAATCAACTACCCAAAATGCTGGAAGTGGAGCTGTGGCTCAAGTGGTAGAGCACGATCCTTGAGCAGATAAAGCTCAAGGACAGCGCCCAGGCCCTGAATTCAAGCCCAAGGACCAGTACCAAAAAACAAAATGTACAAGCCATTGAATCTTAGGAATTTTTAACTCAATTTTATTACAGATTGCCTTATTCTATGTATATATAAAGCATCACTATTTCTATAACATTTTTAATTTTTATTTAAAAAAAAAATTGACGGGTGCCAGTAGTTCACATCTGTAATCCTAGCTGCTCAGGAGGCTGAGATCTGAGGATCATGATTGAAAGCCAGCTGGGGCAGGCAAGTCCAATTAACCACCAGAAAACCAGAAATAGTGTTGTGGCTCAACGTTGTAGAGCCCTGGCCTAGAGCAACAGAGCCCAGAGACAACACCTAGGCCCTGAGTTCAAGCCCCACAACCGAAAGAAAGGGGAAAAAAGAGAAGAAATGAGTATTTCTCTTTGGAACTAGAACAGTGAGATTCAGAAATTGCTATAATCAGATGTCATCACTATACAAAAGAATCAAGGTTAACAAATTGTTCTAATAAGTTAGGGGACAAGCTTTATGCAGAATTCATGCATTGATGCTCATCTGTTGCAAACACTGGTTTTGTGGTAATTGGTGTTTTATTACCTGACTTAATTGCTAGGATCTTATTTTAATACCATGAATGTACAAAGAAATTGACTTTGTACAGTGACATATACTTGTAAAATAGGAATCTCTAGCTGAGTACTGGTGGCCCATGCTATTAACAGCCAATTGCCTGTTGTTCATGTCTATAATCTTAGCTACTAAGGAGACTGACATCTGATGATTGAGGTTTGAATCTAGCCTTCACAAATCTGTGAGGCTTTTAACTTCCAACTAGTCAGCAAAAACCTAGAACCCTGTACCAGCATCCCCCCTCCAAAAAAAATACTATGAAATCTCTGTCCTTTTGAATCTTCTGGACAAATATGAATTGTTTTCTTAACACAGAGCTCATTAGACATGTGTTAATCTTTTTATATATTTTACAATGTAACTTTGCATGTTTTTTCAGGATGTTCTTGAGGAGAGAATTTCCCTGGAAGTTCAACTGGAACAACTTCGACCATTCTCTCACTTATAAACCAATTGCCGTTAACTGTGAACATCCCCATTTGTAAGTGGTTTGGGGCTCGAAGCCATCTTGGAGACCCAGCCATGAAACTCACTGCTTAATTCAACATTAAATTTTATGATTCTGTTTTGCCCTATATGTTCACCATTGTATTTAAGTGTCTTTTATTTTTTAATTTCAACAATAAAAAGGGTCAGGATGACTTTTCTGGAAGGTGTGGTGTGTTTGTTGGCATACCCCTATCATTTCTATTCCATTGCAACAATAATGTGTCATATTATCTGTTGTACTTATATGACCAAAATGCAGTGATTGGATTTCAGAATGGGTTTCTCATTTATATCTCAAACAGACTCAAATTTTTGCAAAAGAAAAAAAAACCAAACTATCATCTTCTTGCATTTAGAGATCACAAAAGGCATCCACATTTTTTAAACAACATTATGAGGTATTATGTTTTGGCAGTACTGGGGGTTGAACTCAGGGCCTGTGGCTTGCTTGGCACTCTGTCACTTGAACTGCTCTTCCTGCCTTACAGTGCTTTAGATTTACTGTAAAGAACTGGAATAGATAACACAGATTCCACTAGAAGCTAATTTACTAGAAAAGTTTCCTCTCTCTGTTAGTCAGTATTCTTCAGAAGTTACCAGACTTCTTTGCACATAAGCTTGGGGTCAGGTTGTACACTTTCCTTGTCAGAATTTGATTACTTAAGTTACCAGTGACTTAGGAATGTTGTGTTTAATTTAGCAACAGTCATGTAAACAGGAACAAAATGAAGACGGATATGTAATTATCCTCACAGGTGAAAGGAAAGTGAAATGCTTACATAAATTCTGTCTACCTTGAGACATCACTAGTTTGTGCGTGATTAATGCCCCTTAGCACTGTAAGAAGGTTCTACATAGTATTTTCAAGTAAGATGTTATGAAACTCCCAAGTTTATCAGTTACTGATAGAAGAAAGCAGTGGAAGTTCCTTATGATTTCTAGTTTACCTTCAATTGTGTTGTCACTTTCATTGTCTTCCATGTAAGCAGATTCCCCTATTAACACTTTTTGAAGTGTGCTGTGTTTAGAATAGTATGCTGTCTGAGGATTTGTTTTCTACTATGTCATAGGTACATTTGAACCACATTTGTAAGCTTGCATTCATCACTGTTAGCAGATGATACCTTGAAGTAAATTCTGTCTGTGGGACATGACAATCAGAAATGTGATTTTTATACCAAGAAGATAGTACCGTATTTTAACTATCATATATTTTTAATCAGAATTTAACTTTTAAGTAAAGAAAGCATGTATAATTTCATTATCCAAAGGTATATACCAATGGTTCACAATCCTAGATTCTGTTATTTTAGGGGATTGAAGGAAAATGTCAATTTACAGCCTAAAGCTTCCAAGATTAACACATGGTACTTCATCTATCACTGAGGAAAACTATTACTGCTGCATACATCAGCTAAAAGTTTTCAGGTGCCTAACAAGTTGTAGCTACAGTTTGTTAAAAACACAGACAATGGCTTTAAAGCCCAGCTTTCTACTGTTTATTTTAAACATAATTGTCTAAGCCAGGTGCCGGGGGCTCACAACTTGTAATCCTAGCTACTCGGTGGCTGAGATCTTAGGATCATGGTTTGAAGCCAAACCTGGCAGAAAAAAGTCCATGAGATTCTTCTTCTCTAGTAAACCACCAAAAAGCTAGAAGTACAGCTGTGGCTCAAGTCATAGAGCATAAGCCTTGTACACAAATGCTCAAGGATAGCATCCATCCCCCAGGTTTAACAATAATAAAAATATAACTGTCTTCATTTTTATTTCATTACAAGCAAGCATTGCTAGATTTCTGCTTCTTTGTATTGTTTGAAGATTGTTCCCCAGTGGTCTTCTAATTTATTATTGCCAAAATATTTGTAAAGCTTACTGGGGAGATCTAAGAAGTTTAGTTTTTCAGCAAAACAATACTTGAGAAATATTTTTTTAAAAAAAACCTTTTCAGCACTTTGTAGTGGTATATTTTTAATGTTCTGAAGAGGAATATATATTCATAAAAGGCATATTTTTGACAAGTGTTTGAAAAAGCTTCCATGAAGTCTTTAAGATGGTAGCTAATCACCAGCAAGTTAAAATATTTTTCTAGAATGATCATTTGTGAACATTTTTTCATTCTGTCATTTTTTATCTTGCTCTCTTTGAATTCTTCATAGCATCCATCAGATGACAGCTTGCTGTTCTAACCGTTCCATGGGATGTTACAGGTGATAAAGTTGACAGTCGGAAGGAACCTCCTAGTCACCTGGGTTCTTCCTCTCATCATGCCTAACACGTGTGAGCATCCTTCTTCCTGTCTTTGCCAGGAGGGCTGGCACCTTGATCTGTTCCTCAGGTCTCGTCTCACTTCATGCTCCTCCTGATGGTGTTCTGGAGTGCTGAGAGCCACAGGAACTTCTCAACTTCTGCCTCAGTAGCACAAATCCATTCATGTTTTGGACCTTGAAGAACAAATGCATTCTTGACATCTGTAAAATCATTTAAGTATGATTACCTATCTTTGCAAGCAACACTCAAGATAGAAAAAAGGTTTAATTCAAAACTCATCTTTTTGAAATGTAAAAACAATTTTTAAAAGTACAAATCTGGTTTAGAACATTGCTTCCTACGATGTCTAAAAATTAGAATAACCTAATACAGTGAGATAGTTTGTTATAATCTAATGTACTATATTCCAATATAGTCTATATTATAATTGTCAATTGCTTTAAGACCAGATGATGTGCTGTTTTATTTCTTTTTGCCAATCGTGGGGCTTGAACTCAGGGCCTGGGCGCTGTCCCTGCACCGCTTCTGCTCAAGGTAACACTACCACTGGAGCCACAGTGCCACTTCCACCTTCTTCTGTTTATATGGTACTGAGGAATTGAACCCAGGGCTTCATGCATGTTAGGCAAACACTTTACCACTGAGCCACCTTGCCAGCCCTGTTTCTTTGTCCAGCCGAACTGGAATCAGAGAACATCTTTATGTTAAGTCCCAGTCACTAATACATGCTATGAGCTACACAGTGACAAAGCCAGCACTATCAAGTTAGACATGAATGTTATGAGCATTAATCATTTAAACAAATGATTATCATAGTGGGAAAAGAACTGAAATGTGTTTCACACAATAACCCTACCTCATGATTGTGGTTGACTTTTTACTTAAAATTGCCCTTGGAGGAAATACATATTCTCACAGCTGGATTCATTTTTTTTCTCAAGCTCAGATTTAGAATAGGGCTCAAGCTATTTTATTTAGGTCAGTTCCTTTTCAGCGACCTTGGCTCCCACTGTAACCTAAGTACTATCATTATGCACAGTGAAAACTATGAGAAAGAGGCTGTCACACTTGGATTTAGCCTAACAAATACAGGCAAGCTTGGGAGACAGAACATAGGTATTTCTGTAGTTACTTCAAAAATAAAATGGTGTAAGTTACAAAGTATACTTAATAAATCTATTGATTCCTTTATCCCAAACTTAATTCTAATATAAGGGGAAAAGGCACAATCAAATTTGTAATAACCACTTAGTCCTAGCAGAATAGAAGAGCAATGGATAAACCTAAATAGTGCAGCCAAGTACCAATGGCTCACTCCTGTAATCCTAGCTACTCTGGAAGCTTGAGATCTGAGGATGGTAGTTCAAAGACAACCCAGGCAGTAAAGTCCATGAGAGTCTTTTGATTAACCACTAAAACCAGGAGTGGAGCTGTGGCTAAAGTCATAGAGCACTAGCCTTGAAGGGGGGAGGAGGGGAGCTCAGGGTCAGCTTCCAGGCCCTGATTTCTAGCCCCAGAACTAGTGTGTGTGCATGCACACACACACACACACACACCCCTAGTGCTTCAGGCCCATAACCTGTTAGACAACATAGGAGGTGGTGAAGGACTCCCAACTGTCAGGTATCAGAGAATTCATGAAGATGCAAGTGCAGGCCTGTTTTTGCAATTTGAAAGCTGTTGACCTAATGTGTAGGATATGTATCTGACCATACTAATGCTGGCACTTGTTAATTTTGCTGTTCGGAAGTAGATGAAAGTTAATGAAATCACAGTTTGCTAATTATTTGCAAACTCAAAAATTGTAATTCTAACCTTTTTCCTACATTTAAATATTACTAGTTACTAGTTCATGAGCTTTGTGGAGATATTTGAGTCTTGAAGGAAAAAACAATACATACACTTGGAATCTGGAATATCTTCCACAAATAAACTATGAAGCGTGACTGCCGCAATGAAGTGGTAGGTGGTTTTTGGAGTCCTCTCAAATGGCATATGAGATGTGGCCCGACTTGAAACAAGCAGCAGATCATTGAAGAGAAAGAGGCTGAGATCGTGGATTTGTTCATATAGCCTGTGTTGAAGTAAAATGTGCATTTGTGCATGACTCAAGTGGTACAATACTTGGCTTAGCAAGCATGAGGCCTTGAGTTCAAGACGTGATACCACTAAATGAAACAGAGCTAGGTGCCAGTGGCCCACACTTGCAATCCTAGCTACTCAGGAAGCTGAGATAAAGGATTGCAGTTCAAAATTCCTGGCAATAAACCAAAGGTTCAAGAAGCTCAATGAACACAAAAATATCTAGACCTAGACATAATGCACTCTTAATTCCAAAAATCAAAGGGCAGCTGGGAAGGTAGCACAGTGGTAGAGCGCTTACCTTGCATGCATGAGGCCCTGGGTTTGATTCTCAGCACCACATAAGCAGAAAAAGCAGGAATTGGCGCTGTGGTTCAAATGGTAGAGCACTAGCCTTGAGCTGAAGAGCTAAAGGAAAGCACTCAGGCCCAGAGTTCAGGCCCCACAACCCCCCCATCTCCCAAATAAAGCAAGTCAAAAAGCTCAAGTCCCAGAGTTCAAACTCAGGTATCAGCAAAAAATTTTAAAGTAGCCTTTCTTCAAAAATCAAAGGGAGCATTTTGATAAATCCAGAGGACAGCGCTCTTAAACGTGTAGAGCAACAAAGCTTTAAGTATGCTGGGTTCAGCTGGGAATGTGGCTTAGAGGTAGAGTACTTGCCTAGCATGCATGAAGTCTTGGGTTCAGTTCCTCAGTACCACATACACAGAAAAAGCTGGAAGTGGTACTGTGGCTCAAAGGGTAGAGTGCTAGCCTTGAGTATAGAAAGGCTCAGGGACAGTAGTGCCCAGGCCTTGCGTTCAAGCCCCAGGACTGGCAAAAAAAAAAAAAATATATATATATATACTGGGTTCTCTGCAGAACCATTCCAGCAGGAAAAGCATAGAGGGAAGCAAAGTAATCCAAGAAGAAAAAAATCTAGTATACCCTTCCATTTGGTTGCTATGTGTTGAATCTTTACCTTCCCCTTAATATTGAAAACATTTTGCCAATTTTCTAAAGCAGTGACTAGCAGACTAGGGACCACTAAATAAAGTTTTATTGGAACACAGTCATAGTTTATTTATGTTTGTTGTATGACAAGTATTGTTTACTAAAGAAAATATGACCAGCAAATCCTAAATAGTAACTGAATCTTTTTTTCTTTTTTTTTTTGGGTCCAGTCATGGGGCTTGAACTCTGGGCCTGGGCGCTGTCCCTCAGCTCTTCAGCTCAAGGCTAGCGCTCTACCACTTGAGCCACAGCACCACTTCTGGCTTTTTTCTTTTTGCTTATGTGGTGCTGACGAATCGAACCCAGGGCCTCAGGCATGCAAGGCAAGCGCTCTACCACTGAGCCACCTTCCCAGCCCCTGTAACTGAATCTTTACAGAAAAATGTGTCCATCCTTATTAGTGACATCCATCTTTTACATTCTCTGAGCATTGTGCCAGCTAGATACATTGAGGTCTTCACTGACCCCCAACAAACATCAGAGGTTCATAAACTAGTCTCTTTCTTTCTTAGGATTGATCTCATTGGTATGAGATTCCATATCACTAAGATCTTACCTCAGTAGGAAAGTGAGCAAGCTCAGGAAGTTCTCCTTTTATAGAGTCTGTGGTCTATAATGTGTCCGGCGCAGTACTGAAAGCCAGGGACACAAGAGTAAGACAGACACTTTTTCAGGAATCTCCAGCCTCAGGACAGTTGGCCGCTGCTTACCTTAAAGAAAAACTGACTCCCTCATCACAGCAGTGGATCTGGGCTACGTCTTGGACTCTAATCAGATATCTGTTTACTTCTGACAAAACCTATAAAATTGAAGAAAAAAATGAAATTAGGTAATAGAAGTTTAATAAATGCTACTGCTGAGACAGTTTATACACTAGAGTATGCAAATATTGACTAGCACTTTGGTTATTTCAAAGATATTTTAACTTTTTTTTTTTTTTTGGTCAGTCGTGGGGCTAGAACTCTGGGCCTGGGCGCTGTCCCTGAGCTCTTCAGCTCAAGGCAAGCGCTCTACCACTTGAGCCACAGTGCCACTGGCGGTTTTCTGGAGGTTAACTGGAGATAAGAAGAGATAAGAAGCGCACAGACTTTCCTGCCCCAGCTGGCTTTGAAGGGTGATCCTCAGATCTCAGCCTCCTAAGTAGTTAGATTACAGGCATGAGCCACCAGCACCTGGCTTGAAAGTGTGTTTTATAAATAGTGAAAATAGTGGGTGCCTGTGGCTCATGCCTGTAATCCTAGCTACTCAGGAAGCTGAGATTTGAGTTTCACAGTTCAAAGCCAGCCAAGGCTGGAGAGTCTGTGAGACTCTTTTCTCCAGAAGTGGCGCTGTGGCGCCAGTGGTAGAGTGCTCACCTTGAGCTGAAGAGCCCAGGGACAGCGCCCAGGCCCAGAGTTTAAGCCCCACAACTGGCCCCCACCCCCCAAAAAATCACTTTCTTTAGATAGACCATAGCATTGACCATGAAGGGCTTTTTTGAGGATGTTCTAAATTTTCAACTTCTGCAATTAATATTCTGTTTGTAAGTGCTCTCCTACCGTCGAGAACCTAAGTGAACAGGGATCAAAAGGGAGCGATCCAGGGCTGGGAAGGTGGCTCAGTGGTAGAGCGCTTGCCTTGCATGCTCGAGGCCCTGGGTTGGATTCCTTAGCACCACATAAGCAAAAAAAGAAAAAAGCCGGAAGTGGCGCTCTGGCTCAAGTGGTAGAGCGCTAGCCTTGAGCTGAAGAGCTGAGGGACAGCGCCCAGGCCCAGAGTTCAGGCCCCACGACCGGACCCAAAAAAAAAAAAAAGGGAGTGATCCAGAGAAAGGAGCAAGTGACTTCTTAGTGCGGGTTAAGGGTCAGGCCCTTGTACTGATTTTACATGGAGATGATTTCTTGATGTAGAAATGAAGCTTTGCAAAATTCCAAGAGTCAGAACTCCAACTGCTCTTTCCCCACCAGACTGTACAGAAACTCCATCTTGCTTCCTCAGTTGACAAATAAAAATAATTATGTTTAATAAATGGCTATTTTAGTTCAACACCATTCACATATTGAGCTCCTACTGAATGCCAGGTATTAGAAGACAGGTAGGTCATAGTTCACACATGATAGAGCTCCCAATCTTGGGTCCCATGTCACATAGTAAATGTTCAAACACCAAGGAAGGGACAGCTCACAGCTAGAGATACTGGGCATCTCAACCCCATGCTTGTAGGCACTACTAAACCAGGATCTTGTGCATTCAGGTACTCTTCTGCAAATGTGGACCACAAACTGAAACCATGATCCTCCAACTCTGCCTCTTAGAGCTGGGATCACAGATATGTACCACCATATCCAGTGTGAGTTTGTTTGTTTTTTATCTCACCTACTTTAGTCCAGGCTGGCTTCGAACTTTCAATCCTCCTACATTCAATTCTTTGTTGTTGTTGTTGTTGATCATGAGGCCTGAACTCTGGGCCTGGGCACTGTCCCTCAGCTCTTCAGCTCAAAGCTAGCTACCATTTGAGCCTTAGCACCACTTCTGGCTTTTTCTGCTCATGTGGTGCTGAGGAATCGAACCCAGGGCCTCATGCATGCAAGGCAAGCCCTCTACCACTGAGCCACATTCCCAGCCCTACATTCAATTCTTAAGTAGCCGGGATTACAGATGTGAGCCACTATATCCAGTTTTTCAAGGGTGAGTAGTATTTTTCCAGCTAAGTAGGAAAGGAAGACAATTTCAGAGAAGGAAATTTATTGCAAATGCATATAGAGTTAGGTACCAGTTGCTCACACCTGTAATCCTAGGTATTCAGGAGGCTGAGATCTGAGGACCATGGTTCTAAGCCAGACTAAGCAGAAAAGTCCACAAGACTCTTACCTCCAATTAATCAGTAGAAAGTTGGAAGTAGAGCTGAGGCTCAAGTGGAAGAGTACCAACATTGAGTGAAAAAGTTAAGGAGTGTGCCCAGGCCCTGAGTTCAAGTCCCACTACCTGCACCAAAAATCATATAAAACAGGACATGAAAACTGGGCACCACTGGCTCACACCTGTAATCCTAGCTACTCAGGAGGCTGAGATCTGAGGATTGTGATTCAAAGCCAGCTCAAGCAAGGAAAATTTGTGAGACTCTAATCACCAATTAACCCACAGAAAACTGGAAGTGACACTGTGGCTCAAGTAGTAGTGCACTTGCCTTGAGCTGAAGAGCACAGGGACAGTGCCCAGGCCCAGAGTTCAAGCCCCAGGACTGACAAACACAAACAAACAAACACATGAGTCTATGTTATTAGAGAATGGAGAGCAGGTCTGTATGGCAAGATCTTTGGATGGTCAGAGAAGCTGTCAGGCAGAGAACAGGGGACTATTCTAGAGGCAACATCTGGTATTTTAGGGACTTTCTGTGTGTTGAATCTTGCACCAGGAACATGTGCAGGGAGATAGGAACCAAGTGGGACTCGGAGCTGCTTGCCCCAGAGGGGTCAGATCAGCATCACAGGACCTCCAAGCAAGGAGCCCAGACTACAGAGAAGCCGTGGACACATCAACACCACACGTGCCTTCAAGGGCACCCCTTGCAGGCAAGGGCAATGTGTCTCTTTTGCCAATAACCTGAGGTGACGCAACACGACGCACAGATCATCAGAATACATACCGGGCATCCCCTGACAATTTTCTGTATATCTGACAGCTGTTCTTTTCTTTTAATGTTTTCTTTCATCTAGGAAACAAAAGCAAATTAAAATTATGGCATTTTTTTATTCACAGAATAGGTGAAGGTATCTTATGGGACTTGGTATGGGACTTGATACTTCTATAGAAAACTCTCAATTATCTGTACCCCACGGGTTGCTTTAAAAAGAAAAAAGACAAAACAAAAAGGCACCTTGCAAGCATGAACAGTTTCTCTTCTACCCAGATCCTTATGGCGTGCACGATGCCATGGTGGCAGTTCAGAATGAGAATGCGAGGGACTGTGACTGCTGTGCTTGGAAAGGCAGGAAAGCTGTGGTTGCATTTGAAAGTGCTTTCAGAATCAAAGGATTTTACTTTTTGTTTCTGTCGTTTAGTTAGCTGCAAAAACCATCCAATCCTGAACATGTTTGCATGAATAAAGGCCTTCTTGCAATTGGACATTGAGCAGAAAACATTGTCCAGCTTAGAAGAGATGCCATTAGTGTTCAAACATTACCCCCACGATTGCTGTGGCGTGCAGAGGATGAAAGATGGAAGTGAAGAGCAAGAGGAGATCGAGCACCTCGGGCTGGCACAAAAGCATCAGAACATTTCTGAAGGGCCTGGGCGCTGCGGACAGCCCACCTGATCTATGAAACCTTGATAGGTTTTGATTTGGTTAATTGCAGTGGTCAGGTCCTCCCGGTCAACGTGTCCAGCCGGCGTATGGAGCCGAAGAGCGTAGAGAAGACTAGTATATTCCTCAAATCTCCGGGATGGGCGCAGAAGCAGCTCTGGCAAGCTGGCAGGGGCAGAGAGAGGGGGCCCATCTCTATCTGAAGGTCAGAAGTATCTGTCCCTGGGGGCCAATGTTCTTGCCCCCTCGGGAGCTCACCTCAGCATTTTGGTAACGATGCTCTTCTCTCGTCTCTTCAGGAACGCTCGGAAGGCTGGGAGCATGTCTCTGCACTTGAAGATGAGAATTACATTGTCAAAACTTTGCTCTAGGTGGGTGCCCATGGCCTGGAATCCAAGCTACTTAGGAGATGGAGTTCAGAGGACTGTGCTCTGAGGTCAGCCTGAAGTGAAAGTGCCAAGAGCCTCCATCTCCAATTAACCAGCAAAAAGGCAGATTGGCAGTGTGGTAGAGCACCTGCAGTAAGAAAGCTGAATATCTTTTTTTCTGGGGGGGGTCCAGTCGTGGG